AAGTCATGCAAATGCAATAAAAACCTTTCAGCAAGAAAACGAAATTGATTTGAAGCCAAACGAGCGGCGGCGGCGGCGGCAAAATGTCGAATTTTAAATTGGATGAATGCACGCACATACACACACAGAGAGAGAGAGAGACATTGCTCGTTTTATTTCCACTGTGACTGCTAATGAAAATTTAACAATTTGCATGCAGCACGTCAAATGTTCACCAAAAATTTCAATTTCTTCCACATTGAATGTATTCCAATGTACAAGTAATCATTGGATTTGGTTTTTTTCTGCTTCTTTGTTTTGTTTTCGTTTTCGCGAATTGTTTACATAATGCGTTGAGTTTAACATGCGTTCCAGACACATTTCGTTTTCAAGACAACAACAATAAAGAAGGCAGAAACATTTCACCGCATAAATTGGCATTTTTATCGCGTTTATGCGCGCTGCTTCTTTTTTCTTGACAATACTCGGAATAAATAAAACATTCGGTTAAAATAAGCAAAAATTTCTTGACAAAAACTTAATTTCCGGTCTGAGGCGTTTTCGTCCGGTTGTGTGGCCGCAAAATGGCAGCAAACAATTCACTACGACTATGACTATGGTACGTAATAGGACGATGTGTGAAAGTGTTTCGTCGTATTTACATATCACACATTCGCGATTTTACATTGTGCAGAACGGAATACAGTTGATATTGGACACTAGCTATTTTCTGACTCAAACAAAAAACTACATCAAAATAGCACACTTCTGATATCATACGAAAATCAGCAACAAATAATCACCATACGTAAATTGAATATTAATTCCAATAAAAAAAAACCGAAATTTATCCGAAGAATTATTGCAAATTTTTCGGCTGAATAGATGCGCCAGCACACGCATTGATTGTTGCCTTTTATTTGCATTGCAAACAAATTGATTTGGCTCTAGCGCGAACGTTGCCCATTTCCAATTATCAATTTTTGAATATTTGGCCGTTTGTATTCAGCACAATCGATGCACGTTCATTGTTTTCGATTATCGAATTTGCATATTAATTTTGTATACACGGTGTTTCAATGGTCGGGCTGACGTATATTCAACAGCAAATTCGACACTCAATTCAAATTTCAAAGTGTTGACGACCAAGTGAAAAATTATGTTTGCGATTAAACACCAACAAAAAAAAAAACATACAGAAGTGGCGATCGGTGAGAGGAAATTCGAAACTCTGGCATTTTTTCACCAAAATTTCGGTTCATTGTTTAGCGAACGATAAACTGTACATCTGCTGCTGGCATAAAAACAGAAACTCTGACAACTGATCTGCTATTTACCATTTATCGCAATTGTTCATCGAGTTGTTTGATGGTTTTGCGACCAAATTCAAAATATAGCTAATAAATCGAATTCCGTGTTTCATTTTGAAAGTTATCAACTGATTAAACACCTGATGTTGAAACTGGTTCTCCAAATTTAGAATGAAATTCTGGTGAAAAACGTAAATGTTTCAATAGAACCGACGTACTGATTTTGATGATTCTGATCATTTAGTCAAGCTGCGTGTAACGCGTCCAACAAAGGGCTGGTTTTGGATAAAATCGTTTATGTTGCGAGTGAGCATTGAACATAAATGACATGCGAGCACGCGAAACAATTTGCAGCACTTCATTTTCAAAAATAACACACTATCAAATCAATGTATCGTTTGATGTGCGAACCGAGTTGAGCCGGTTGCTGAAAAAAAAATGTTTCACCTTGTTCTTCGCGTGTTACAACTTGACCAATTTTGTTTTTTATTTTTCATTTTCTCACCGGTGTACCGCCAAATTGATGGTGTTTTACAATTTATACACACAGCACCTCGAGCAATTCACACTTGAAAACTCACCGGGGCAATGTAAGAAAACAACTAAGGAACAACTCTGTGTGTAGGTCAAAACTCAATCGCAAAAACCGTACCGCAAACAACACTTTCGATTTGGCTCGAGAGTTTTACCCTGTCGCTACCGGTCGTAGCAATTGAACTAAGGTTTCTCCAAAGTGTGCCTTGTGCCGAGCAGTTGATCTTTACATTCTCTTGAGTTTTTGGGCGTTCAATGCCAAAAGTGTTCTTTTAAACACGGTGCTGTGCAGTGGTTTTTCCGCTTTAGTTCAACGAATAAAGGTGTTTTTTTTCTATTTTCGTCGCTATTTTATGCATATGAATTAAGGCATCCTACATTCACATTTTCATTACTCATTTAGCATTTAATTACATGTTAGATGTCAAGAATGGAGTCGTTACAAGGGCAAAGACGTCACAGTTGAATGTAGTACAGTTAAAAAGCATGAATAAATAAATAGAAGTACGTAAATTAAAAGGGGGAAAAATGTTATCACATTCAATGTGTGTGTAAAAAAATAAGCGAGTGAAACAGTCAGCTAAAAAGTAAGGTAATCGCAACGGCAGTGTCTCTGTATTCATGTTACACAAAGAATTGTTCCCCATCGTGAACGGTCCACGGTGAAAATACGGCAAGTAAACTACTGGATAAATAGTGGCACACATATTTAATTCAATCCATTCGCTTTGAGTCGCTTTTTATTATCAAGCCAGACCATTCTTTTCTGCGTTCTATTCGAACACTTCCTTTTGACTTATGAAGTGAAAAGAACAATGTTACCGTGAACACAAACACATGGAACAACGAATTGGATTGCCGGTCAATACCTTTTATCGGATATTTATACCGTACACGTTTCTGTAGTGACATTTGAACTGAAAAAATGAAATGTTGTTATAAGTCACACAGAATATCACGAATCCATTACAATCAATAACGAAGTTGGTAACATTAACGAAATCTATACGATCCATCACAACAAGCAGATTATGAAACTATTCTCAGAATGTAAACGTGATGAATTGAATTGAAATGACATCTGACTCCCAGCCAACGGATCACATTATTCACGGGACTTCATACCATTGAATGGAATAATATATTTCGAATATAATTAGAATAATTAGTATGCGTTTGTATGAGCTATAATTTCGGCTTATGGCCGTTGGTCATCGAACTGTATGTGTAATTGAATCAAAATGTGATACCTAAAGTACTCTATCAATTGAAATTTGATTATCGAATATGGATTTCGAATTAAGGATAATTGAGCGCTGTGATAGTAAACACGTGTTCATCATTTTCTCAAATTAACTCAATAAACGGACCATACGATAAGAATATAATAGCTGATAAACGCTTCATAATAATTTCCATGAATGAAATTACGTTGTAGCCGGTCGTTGTCTTTGTTTTTTTTTTCTTTTCTTGCTTCACTTTTTCAAGAAAACACACTGCATATTTTAATGTTATCACAACGAACTACACCGACGTCCGACCCCGCGCAGAACAGAGATAGGCAAAAATAGCTCGACAGAATGCTGATAAAAATGCAAAGTCAGTGAATCCTGAAATGGTTTTGCTGTCGAATCATGCTTAAATTATACAACGAGAGGCTGTTCAATGAGACACAAACAATGCACTGTCGTTTGTCAATGTTTTGAATAATTCATCGTTTAATCAACATAAAATTACGAAAAGTAATTGGCCTTTCATCATGTGTCATCCAAAAGCTAACGATGGTAGAAGCAAACGAACGCACACCACTTCCTCTGTTGGTCGCACATTTTCTGTTCTGTTTTTTTTCTTCTTCTTCTCTTTTGCTTTACTGTTGAATGCGAACACGTCAGATATATGTTTGTTCTGTTGTTTTTGAAAGTGCGGAAATTAAGACAAATATCCGCTTATTTGCGATATTATGCGCAAACCGACCGAACAAAAAAGGCGGCCAACTCTATGAAAACTTTTAAACAAATTTCGGTATTTTTGCATTTCCGCTGATGGCAAGCAGCTCGGTGCATTGCCTCGGTCTGGGGACAATGTTTTTGCAACAGTTGCAATGTTCACTATTACAAATACAAATGGCAGTCGTGTGAAAATTGCCAGTGTGACCATTCGAAATCGCAGTGCAACGCGAACGAGAGAGCGTACGCGCACACTTGAGCGATTGGCAAAGAAACAACACAACAAATTATCAAAACAAAACGGTGTTAGTGGTGTGGCTGTTACTGTTGCCGTTGTATTTTTGTTTTTCTTTCACGTTCATTTTGCCATTTGTTTTAATAACATACATGAAAATTCGCTTATGAATTTCATTTTATGGCTTAGCCCAAGCCGAGTGCGGCAATTTTGAAATTGATTGCACTTGGCCGACATAAATAATGTGACTCTCTAATGCACGGCAAAACCAACGTAATCGCGAATCGAATATATGTGTACAAAACACACGGTAGCTTATACACGAACACGCACGAGAAATACATAGCGTGCAGCAGTAATGTTTAGCCGTTGCCAGTAGCCAGCCAGCCAGTCAGCCCCATAAAATTCAGTTTAATTTGTATAATTATGAATTTCAAAACTCAACGCACTCACACACACGGAGAAAAACTTTGCTTCACATCGGATTTACTGAATAAATTTGAATATTACATATTGAAATCTTTCATATCGCTCGTACACTGCTCCGCTCTGCGTTGACAGAAATTCAGAGCTGTAACTGAGTGCATGTTTTGTTTTTGTCAAACAAAACCGAACTTTTTTATGAGTTCGCAACAAAACATTTTTTTCTCTTCTATTCGGCCATGATTTCTGTTGCTCAATCGATGATTGTCGTGCAACACTGATTTTGCTCATTTTCTTATGCGCTTGGAATTTATCGCTCAGACACGAAGTATGTGGACCATTCAGTGCATTTGAAGTGATCTGTAGTGTCATTTTTATGGAATTTTTGTCGGAATGAAAATGCCTAAGTACATCCATGTGAATTAAAAAAGGGTGTGACTCGATAAAGTCATTCGATGACGAATATTTTTTCGCCCTGCTTTTCGTTTGCATTATAGACAATATTTTGCCACAGAAACGCTGAAACATGAATTTAAAATGAGATGCCAAAGTGGAGTAAGAAAAGTCACTTACCGTAAAGAAAAACGTCGCGTAACAATTCTGTTGGAACCGGTCGAAAAACACTTTGGTGACAGTAGCAAAGAAATTCAAGCCGATTTCTACCGTGTATGTTGGTGTTTGTGTGTTCATTCACTGCAATGATACTGCTGTGTCTGTTTATAGTTGGATGAATATACGCTGGAATGGTATGAGATTCGTTTTCATGTTGCGGTTACTGTTGATTGCATAAGTAAATCTCTCTCTCTCTCTCACACACACACACACAGAGACATATACATTCGCCTCGCGAATCTCTCTCTCACTCAGCTGACACAATTTTTACGCCAAGCATAAACTTAACACGAATAATATTCGCGACACGAAACACTTTCGATAAAATTGATTTATGTGATAATAAAATTATTTGTTTAACACCGAACAAATATTTTCTTTTCAACTGATTTTTTTCTTCTTCTGCGAATCACTAAAGAAACTATTGATTTTTATCCAACAAATGAAGTTCACACCGATTTAGCAAAAACAATTGAGCACAATCAATCAATTAACAACGGAAAATAATGGTTGAACGGAAAATAGAAGACAAATTATATTTGATAGAATCGATTTATTGGCCAAAATTGCACAATTTAAATGTTGTTTTTATAGTTTGCGTCACTTCGATTTTGTTTAACTGACGTTTTATTGAGAAAATGTTGTTCCTACCGATGTCGATGACGCACTGAGGAAAACGCACAATCTGCAAACAAAAAAGAAAGAAAATTACGGTTAAAATTCAGATAGAAGAAATTTTACTAAACGATGGGCATTTGTACGAGAATGAGAATGATGGCTGTGAACATCGCGTTTGTTCTACTACAAATTTTATGAAGTTTGCCATTTTTATGGCTATTTCGAAACATAGACGTAGCATAGCACCCAGCTCAATATTGATTTTATTTTTGTTTTCCTTCTTTTGAAAAGCATGAATTTTTCTTCCGGGCGCACGAAAAAAAAAATCCATAAAATAAATGGTTTGACGTGGTAAAGCAGAATTGAACAACGGTTTGATAAGTATAGAAAAAGTCATGTTGGGCGACCAGCATCGCTGACACACAAAGCAATTGTGTGTACGTGTATGTGCTATGTGCTGTTTGATGAAGTGTTCATGTAAACAGACACGAACGGTGTAGAGAAAAAAAATGAGAAGAACCATTTTGCTCGTAAATTGTACGTCGGTGTGGTTGTCATTATTGGTCTTTTTATAAATTAAAATGTGTTTCGTAGACACGGTTGTTGTGGTAATTTTTTTTTCGCGCTGGCGTTTCGCTTTGGCTTTTCCGTTGGTATCTGGAACCATGTGATTTGTTATGCAATCATATTCGTTGCTCTGTCTCGGTGTCTATATTCATGTCTGCATTACACAGTTTTTTCGCTTGTGTTTGAAACACACACGCACACATTGAACACTCACACCTCCCAAAGAGATCCCATTGCTGCGTGAAATCGACCGATAAAACTTTTCTCGATGCTTTGATAATGGACCGATCCAGGGTATATCGCCATAATCGCGTAAAATAAATGTACATATCGCTTCACCCTTTTTAATAGCAAATAAAAATAAATAAATAGCATCATATTTCGCCGAAACTTTGTTCTTGCCAACAATTATTTCGCTCCTTCTTCGTCGAACCACCTCGCGTTTGACCATGCTAAAGCAACATTTTTTCCACTTTAATTCCAAATTGTTTACATTCTCTTTACGAAACATTGCAAACAAACTTATTGAGAGAGAGAGAGAGAGAGAGAGAGTGCGATTTTTCTCTATATTTATAATGAGAATTCCAGGGAAATGTTTCATTTAACAATTTTTCAACTGTTCAAATGTTCAAGCAAACAAAAGAATAATTTTCATTTTCCTCTCTCTATTTCAACAGTGTTCGTTTCACAAATACAAATGCATGGCAAATATGTAGGCAAACATTCTGATTTCTAAAGCAAGCAATTCGACGAAGTGTTCAACGTTTGAAACTTTAATTTTCATCAAAGATTTGGACGAGAAAAAAAAGAGAAGTTTTTCTCATACAGATTATTTTCCATTAATTTTTGTTTGTTCCCTTGAACAAAGCATTCTGAAACAGATGCCTTCGACTGACCTTCTAACAAACTATTCGGAAGCTCAGTTTTGCGAATTGCAAATCGTGCAATTCACGTCTTCTATCTATAGAGAGATATAAATGCTAAATCAATTGAAACATTGTTTCAATTACACGTGAGATGGATTGAAAACGAAACGCACATAACGGATGAGAAATCACAAGTGAAAAACAAAGCCGAGATGGAGCGAAAGAGATGCAAATAATGGACATTTAATTCAAATGAATGAAATGGTCGGCAGATGCATCGATTGATGAACACCACAAAACGAACGTATCGATGGTAATCGCGCCAAAGTGATTGAAAACACATTTACACACAAATACAAGAGGTAATTGTTTGTAATCGTCAATAAATGCACTGGCAAACACATAGCAACCACAAACGAATAGAGAGAGAAAAATCAAAGGCAAGCAAACAAGCAAACAGCGAAGAAAGGCGCACACAATCAATTGGCTCACTCTTCCACTTCCTACTTAGTAATCCGTTGTAATAATAAATATCTGTGGTAAGTTGAGGCCGCTCTTTGATAACATCGTGATATTACATAGTGGATAGCGTCAATAGCGAATACAGGTACATTTTTTTTTCTACTTCTCTCTACCTTATATTTTTTTCGCGAGCACGAGCACTCAACACATGAAGAAAAAACTTGCACTTTCACGTAGCTGAAGAAATCGAAAGAAAAAGTCACATATCGTTTTCACAACACGATTCGATTTTCTTTTTGCGCCACGGTCCAGTGAGGATAGCGCTCCACTACTTTGCCTCATCTCATTCAAACACACAATCATATGCAATTCAAGATGAACTTTGCGAGTTTGTTTTTTTTTTTCTCTTCACGTATCTTCATTTCTCGCCCGATCAGCAGCAAAAGTGAACGTAATACAAACTCCATTCCAGGGTCAGCTGAGAAGCAGAAAAAAAACCACGTGAAATGCGGAAACGTCATCACCAAATTAGAATAAAATTGATGCTTCGTTTGTAAATTCCACTGATAAAATCGACTCACTTGCAACGCATCATTTCATTCGAAGATGATTTTTCGAATCGTTTTCGTCTCTTCTCTTTTTGCACAGCGTTTATTTGAATGCAAAACATTAGACAATGATAAGCCAACTGGGGAATACAACGATAGAAACACGCTTTTAGAATTGATTCGTGCAAATGTCGTTCCATGTTCACTCTTCTTATCAACTTATGAGGTGATTATGTTTGCTTGAGTTAAGCAGTCACACAAATTAAAATTAGCTTTTGCTATAGGACGCCAATTTGAACGAAACAAACTCATTTTTTTTCTAATTCTTTGCTCATCAAACATCGTGAATTGAAAGTTAAACGAAAATGGATGAGGCGACGACTATCAAAACAATCAAATCGATTTTAGTTTGGTGAACTTGTGTGCATCGAAAATAAAACGTTTGCTTCAAGCAAATTGTGTTGAGACGCCAATGGAGTTGGATGGTCGATGTTGTGTGAAAAATGATGTTGATTGTTATCGAATTCATTGCACGGAACGCAAATATATACAAAAGCACTTTGTCGTGAGCGATGTTTTTGTTGTTGTTCAAGTTGAGTTATACCAATGTCAAATCTAGCTGAAACTATTCCAAAAAAAAAAATGACTTTCAAAATTCGCATACATTTTATTTTGAAATGGATTTTTGTCTATCATACTCATAAAACGAATTTTTATCACCACTTGAGCCGACAATTACTTTATTTATGTTCAACAATTTCAGACCACATCGCACTTCTTCTCCATTTTTTTGTTGTTGTTGTTGCTTGTCTTCTTTTGCGGTTTACATCCCGTGTACGTGTGTTTATCAGTTTTTCCAATGGAAACAAACAGTGAGAAAGTAAAAGAATCGGATGTTTTATTCATTTTCGCGCCGCGCCAATAACACACACACTCACAAATCGTTTCGTGAATCAATTTTTGTTTTGCTTTGTTTGGGTTTGCTTTCAAGAACAGCACTTCTTTTCTCCACACAGAGAACAAGAAAAATAATAATAAACAGCAATTTGAACAATAGCGATGATTCAATAGGAATACGTGAAACGTTTTTCTTACTACAATTTTTAATATTTTCTTTTTTTTTCGTTGCGTTTTCATTGGCAAAAGTGTCGACGACGTATCATAATTCGTATCCAATTAATGAGCTTAACACAACGCCAAGCCGTATGGTAATTTTCACAATTTTAATCGAATCTATTGTTTGACTGTGGTATTTTTTTTTGTTTGTACTTTTGCAGCTTCGCTGGTTCCATTTCGAGACTATACGAACTATTCCGTTCTGTCGAGTAATGAGCGCGAGAGATGATGATTACATTTAATAGCGCCAATCTCATTGTCTGTTTCATGATAAAGAAATCTGATTTTTCTTTCATTTTCTTTTTCACTGCGTTGTTTGATTGTGCTGGTGTTTGTTCATTTTTTTTTTCTTCATTCGTGTGTATTCGCACACGCTAATGATTTTTCAGTGCAAAGTGTTTGTTTTTCATCTTCAATCTATTTTGCATTGTGAGTCGATAAATCATGGATGCAAATTCCAGTCGGAGCAAGTGGCAAAGAGAAAGAAAGAAAAAAAAATTAAAAATGATCATCATTTTTGTTACACTTTATTTTCACTGTTGCCACGGGAGATGAGACTGAGACTGAATACCATCACGATGTTGATTCGAATCGATTGTAGACTAAATCAGCGTGAAACGAGAGCAAACATTCGAGAAAAATAGAGAGAGAGAAAAACAAGTACAAAAAAAAACACGACGCGAATTGAATGAAAAATTGGAGGCGAGTTTCGCGTACTGTGTTGGGATGGGTCCGGGCTACATTTCAAAATGTAGCATATATTTTCGTACATTTTTTGTTCATTCGCTTTACAGCAAAAAACATTGCGTCAATGTGGAATTTAGCGAAATTTTGATACCCAAATCGACCGAAAAAAAAGAGAAAACAATTGCAAATAAAAGTAGTAAAGCGTCGAAAATTGATGATGAAAAATGCTGAGCAGTGGCGAGAAATTGGCGTAATTTATACGCCCATATATTCCGTTTCGTCCAATTCACAATTCACGATTAGCAAATGTTTAAGTCTCCATTGGCACCAGTGTACGCACTAACTCGGGTCAATTAAGCACTCATTAGCTTTGTTCGACTCTAGCTAAGCTCAAATTCACCAAAATTTCATGGAAATTACGTGTGTATAGTTTTTTTTTTCTCTTCAGCCGCAAATTAATTTCACAAAATTTAGAGGCAATCCATTGAAAATGAAAACATGATTTCTAATCACATTAATTCCAACCGCGACACAATAAGTGAAAGAGAAATATAAAAGAAGAAAAATAAAATAACAGCCAAAATTTGGTTCAAACACTCTCACTTTAACTGAATTCAAATGACTTGAGCGCCTTACGAATTTGTACTATAAGATTATTAAAAAAAACCACTGAAAATGAACATTTTAAGTAGAATTTCGTACCGTGATTTCTATTGTGGCAATCGATGGTAGCCGATTCAACGCGGTTTACTTAATTTAAGAAATTCGATTTTGCTATTTCCCATAAATGTGTTTAGTTTTTTCTTTCCAATTTTTCATTGGCACTAAAATTCAACGATTTTCTTTTCCGTATTCAAATTTTCCCACGCGTCGAATAATTCAACGTATTTAGATAGTAAAAAAGAAAACTCGTTGAATTCTCTGAAGAAATTGATTTTTCCGTTCGACGGAAATTTTCAGAAAAATTGAACAAATTCCGTGAATTGATTTCAAGTTTTGATTTTGGATTTATCACACGCGGTGCGATAACTGCAGTCGAAAAATATAGTAAACGTCCGTTTCGAAACGTGTTTCTACGATGACTAAAGTGAATCGATGTGAAATTCACATTTCAACGGCTATCCAGCGTTGATGGTTGTTCAATTTTGGGCGAAAACGAAAGCGAATTACGTACAATCAACGTAAGCGGCACCGTATTGCATTCAAGCGCACAGCAAATGTTGGCTTGAATGAATCGTTGCCGTGACGCACAAGCTTATTCATCAGACGCATCGCTCGCAATCGAAGCGCTAACATGTTAAGCCAATGCTTCAGCGGCGGAATCGGCTCATTTTCACACAAATGTTTATTCATTCTCTCGCTTTCATCGACACACAATCGCAACCGTATGACGTTTATGTGTGTGAAGCATGCGTCTTACAAACAAAAACAGCATGCTTCTTCATTTGTTGATGTATTTCGATGACGAATTTCGAAGCAATATCTTACACATCAATATTGATCGTCTTAAAATATTTCCTATGCACAAAGTCCAGAAATGTGAATCAATACTTGAATTCTTACCTGTGAATGATGGTGGTTATTTATTATTTTCGTTAGAATACTTGTGAGACTTGATGTATAGAGCGTATGAAATGGAATCAATCCACCTGTGGAACTTGGCTTGTATGCTAACTGTCAGGCAATTCATTTCGCGATTGGATATTCGGCGTAAGCCCACAGGAAATCCCAAAGAACGGCAAATAAAATGAATGTATAGAAATAGGTTGGCCTTGGAGAACTCTTGAATGTGTTAACTTGCATTGTTTGCTTTTATTACTCAATGAGTAATACTCATCCGTTCTGTTCACTTACAATCGGATTTCTTTGTTGATTTTTGTTCGTTTCTCAATTTTTGTTTTCTGCTGATAAAGTACAATTGCAATCATTCAAAATGCCAAGCCGTCGACTCTATCATTTCTTCTTTGAATCATAATCTCTTTGTTGATAACTATCGATTGTACACTTTCACCCTTTTCTTATCTATTTGATTTGCTTTTTGTTTTGAACTATAGAAAAATATATATATATGAATAAGGCAACAATAGTTTTTTTTCTATTCAAAAAATAAAATCTATATTTTTGTTTGGTTTTCGTTCCAGAGTATATGGAACTTATGCGTTGAGTTGGTTGAAGACACACTTTGTTTATGTCATCGCTTCGCATATTGTTTATAGAAAGTAATTTGATCAACTTGACATAACGAACGCATGCGCTGCTTCTGATGCCTCGATATGATTGTGTGAAAAATATGTAAAAATGCCGTTAGTTATGGAAATGAAGGCAGAGGCGGTCATGGAACCGAATGTTATTTTATTGAGATTGCCGCTTCAAACAAAAATAAAATCATCAGTTTGGAGTAATCGGCTCGAAGGAGAGAGAGAGAGAGAGAGAGAGCACTGCACAAATTTACTCTCCGCATCGCATTCAAATGTCAAACATCGCAGATACATGTAGGAGAATTCGAAAGACACAATGTTTTTCTTTGGATTGATTTGTGTGGAAGGAAAAAAGGGGAAATGTATGTTGATTTTTATTGCTGCACGGTTGGTAAAATTGCTGGCGGGGCATGGCTAGCTTGCAATGAAGTTATAATTTACTTCAGATTCGCCGATTCATCGGTGTGTTGGTCCGTTTTTAATCCAAAAACTAATTTCCCAAACTTTTCGGCAATGTTGGCCGTTTTATTTTTCATTTAGGGAATGAGTAGATTTTCGTATGTCCAGTTACAAATGATCAAACAAAGCAAACATCCCCGTATGGAAAATACGGAAAAATCGGAGAAAATCCACATTTCGCGCCCTTTTGGACCGTTTTTTTTTTCTCCAGATTATTCCTTGCATTTGGATGTGCGGTAATGTTTGCAATTCAAAAGCGATTTAAATCGAGTAGATCGATATGTAGCAATTTGCATTAATCGGGGGATTGATTAAGTGCGTCGGTGTGTTTTTCATTGTGTCAATTCAGCATATTGATCATTTGGAATTTCGGCTGGAATGTTATGTGTTCTGACTGAAGGATGCAAACTGGTGAAAACAATGGCAAACATGCTCATTTCTCACACGCACTCGAAAATCGAATCGCACTCAATGCCACCTATGCCAATCTTTTGACAGAGATAAAAACACACTTTAGCGGAATACGAATCGAGGGGAGGAAAAGACAGACAAACAAACAAATAACACACTGAACAAAAACTGTTCATCATCACCTCGGCACAATCAATCACATTAACATAAATCAATCATGTTCATTCCATTACCGATAAACGATGTATAAAATAGCGGAATAATATGGTTCGTAACCACACTGTGCCAAGCCTTTTATATTTTCACAGGCTGCACAAATTGGACCACTGAACCATTCGCCCGTTCATCTACGTCATGCTCTTTTTTTTTCTCTCGCTCTTTCACTCGTTTCCATTTTTTTCTTCTTTTTCATTCCATTTCTGCTGATTGCCAACTCGAGTTCATTGTGTGTGATACACTTAATACACTGAAATGAATTCACAAAAACGCAACGACCACGAGACTAAGGGAAAAAATAGCACTCGACGAAAAACAAAAGCGATTTGATGTGAATGGATTAATGGATATTCATTTTTTTTTCGTTTTTGTTTATCGGAATTCTATTCCGATGGTATGCAAAATCTATTGCATACGTGAAGAGTTGCCAGAAGAGCGTGTGTGAGAGAGCGTGTGAGAGAGAAAAAGAGAAAGCCCCATTGGGTATTCGGTGCGAACATGCTGATGATAAACAAGAATTTATGCACACATCTGGAGTTGATGTGCCGAAGAAACTGCTGCAAAAACATAATTAATGTAATCGCTTCAGTTAAAGTGGGTTCTGAATTTTTTTTTCTCTTGTTCGAAGGGGTTAGCGAATTCGTTATTTTTTTCGCTTATGCTTCAGTGGGCACTTTTCAGCCGTTTAGCGAATAGATGGATGTTCAAACATTTTCGACGAGTTGGACCATCCATTGCGGTTTCTGTCAATTATTCATTCCAATGTATTTTACGTGATTTTTCATTCACTCACCAAAGGTCGCATTCAAACAACTAACTACATAAATATTCATGCGGTTCATGTTGTGTTGGATTTAAGCTGCAGCAAAACAACCAACACCCAATGACAATGGCCTTTGTTCGGCAATTCAAATATATCACCGAAAATTAGAACCAAAAACGCGTCACAATGATTGCATGAATAATGTCTCCTTCAATATGAACCCCCGTTTTTGGGGATGTGAATCTTATTCTCTTTTCATTCCATATCTGTTTAGCTTTTGTTTTCATTTTGCCAGGCATTCAAGATTCATTTATTGGATCCAATGTACAGCAATTTTAAGCATGATAGTGCATGATTGATGAGAGCCGCTATAAAACCTTTTCGTATTTCAATATCCAAGTCGCTTCTATAATTGGCATCATATCGTATAATTACTCGTCCAAAAATCTATTTACAAACCATAAATTTTGACATCCTAAAAAAAATAACGGCTCCAGCTATAAAATATATGCTGATTTTTCTATCGAATGAACTTAATGAACAAGAAGAAATAGATACCGAACATCGGTGCTTACTTTTCATGATGCTTTTATGATGGAATGTCGCAGCAGAACGTTAAATGTGTGCATAAAATGCCGATGTTTCAATTGAAATAACCTGACAATTCACAATGCAATAATATGAATGCTATTCAAAGAAAGCTTAGCATTTCATAATGCTATATTATAGAAAGATGTTATTCTGGAAACGATTCAGTGCTTCTTCCACATAAATTGCTATTGGCACCGTTATTAAAAATTGATGTGTCTACGAAATAACAGTTTTTGACACTTAAGGAGGTGTCAAGCATTGTTAAGTAGCAATTAAATGAAACAGTGTCTATGCAATATACATGACATACACATAAGTCATAAAGGTTAGTATGAAAAACTAATATTTCAGTATCATACAAATCTGTAAGAAGACTATCCTAGCTATTCACACATACTCAATTAAATTCTCCAAAAAATAGTTCAATCTGGAAAATACTCTGAATTGGAAAAACAACATTGGAAAAGTGCTACGCAACGATATAAATTGTTCGTCCAAAAATACTACGAAAAATTTAATTTTCCGTTCTCGGAAGCATCAACAGCCAGCTCCTTACGAAAATCGGACGAATGAATTGTGTTCAAGGAATCCAACGACAATTTCAATGCAAACAATTGACCAATTTCGGTGAATGCATCGAAAAAACGGAAACGCGAAATGTTCAATTCCTAAATTGAAAATCATCCTATGTATCATGTAGCTTTCTTCATTTTCACAAGCAATTTTCAAAATGGACACTCACAATGGAGCTCTTTCTCTCTCTCTCTCTCACTCTTCCACCTCTTTCCTCTCCTTTGAACCTTCTGCATTAACAAAGAATATGAATAGAGAGATTGAAACTCAATAACTACATTTTTCTGTTGCGATCGCCTACGATTTCGTTCTGATGTAATCTAAGAGTTAACCATTTTCTCTCCTACCATTCTGATTTAATTTATAAAATAGAAAATGAAATGTGGACGCATTACAGCATTACAGCATTACAACGGATGTCGATGTAAGGACGTGTTCTTGCTTTTTCCATTCAATTAGTTTTGTGTTAAGTCATTTTCTACTTAAAATGTTTGCGAATGAGAAAAAAAAAACCGAGCGGCACAAACGAATAAGCAAACATAATTTGAAAGCCAGCTCGAAACCGTTGCCGTGTATTGACGACAATTGATTAGTTTTTCCTGTTTCCATTTTTTTTTTCTTTCGCTTAGCCTTTTGTGTTGATAAATTGAATTTAATGAAAACGTTTCATTCGATTCCATCACAGTTGAGGCTTGTTTCGAAGTTGATTTAGAGGAATGAATGAACACAGTCGAAGTAAATTACTGGCTCAATTTCACCACTCTACGACAACAGTGAAAAACTACACAAGGCTATTTCCAGCAGCCCGTGTCAATGAATGTTCCTCGCGATATGCAATGAACACACATATTGTTTTCTCTTTAGTAACATTGTGAATTTCATTGAGGTTTTTTTTCTCCTTTTGTAATCTCTCGGTTTGTTGTAGCCAAAGAACACAATGGTTTCTCTTTTTAGTTCAAACAGTTCAAGCATTACATGCTTTTGCAATAAATTCATGAAAAAAAAAATATAATGACGAATCACGATTCCTACTCAGCAGACTTGTCGTCACACGCGTAGATGTAGCATTTCACTCTATTCAACGATTCTTTAGTTGCCGGAACATCGTCTATGTAGTGCACTCGATATTTAACGTGAAAATCTAAATTCTAATTTTCGGCAAGCCGAAGTATGATTTCGAAGAGTGTGCAGAATAAAACCCTATGAACAAAACAGAGATGATTTTTTTTTGCATTTCGAACACATAATTTGAAGCAAGGTATTTAACAAGAAAGAAAAATAGATTTTTTCGAAAATAAATTGAGACTCTCAATTTGAGAGTTTATATATTAGATTGTTTACGTTGTTTGTAATTTTCGAAAAATTGTTGTTGATTTTTCCGAAAATAAAGTTTCGTTTGCGCTCCTATTATACTTCGCTTCGTCGAGCGTGCAAATACATTGAAAGTAATTACCGAATGTAATTACCATTGGAACTTATTTGGCAAACAATATAGCGCAGTTTATATTATCCGCCTCATAATGTGCCCAATTTTGGTTTGAGTATGTCGCCGCCACTGTAGCAGCGCAACTGTAGTCGTGAACTGACCAATTTATTGCGAGTGGCAAAATACACTAAAAAAAAACATGAATTAATTTGAAAAAATTACTTTGTGGCATTTTTAATTTGCGAAATTATGTGAAACATTTATGAGAGCGAAAAAGCAATTTGGGCAAAGAAAGAGGATGAAAATGGCGAAAACGAAAAATTGGGCCATAGAAGCATTGGATTATACAGATAGATTAGTAAGGTTGCACTTGCACCATTAAAACATTCAGTCACGACGAAGGACCATTACGCGAGAGGCATCACAGTACTCCGAAAATTATGTGGAAACTGCACGCGAATAAACAGTGTGCTTAATTTGTTCTCGGTCTGTTTTCTCGTTTTATGAATTTTTCTTGTAATTACAGAAATGTACGATAATAATCCAAAAATAGCAACAACAACAAAAAAACCGCATGGCCCTTAATAACGTAAGCCAACATGACAATATCACATAATGGAGATTTTTATTGTATACAAAACACTTATAGATATCCATAGCATTGTCCGGTTCTCCTTCTACTGGCACACTCTCTCCGCTCTTCTTATCCTCGTGCTGCTGTGTTTGTATAAAGTCATTTCGAATGGAAACCCAGAGAGCTATTGAACAATCGTATGTTTGGGGAGAAAAAGAGCGCCCGTAAACGAATGACCATTGACCAGTTGTATGGAAACAAGTGTGCCAGACCCAGCAATTGTAATATAGTTAAATTGAGAATGTGTGTTACTGAAACATAGAAGAGGATAATGAATGAACGAGCCGTACAAGTATAACCAAATGAACAGAAACTATCCGGAGGTAAACCGATCGGACACCGAACGACACACACACACACACACACACACGAGAAAAATAAATACAAGGAAAAATCACCATAAATAAAACTGCTTTTAGCAAATAGCTGGATAATTAGTAAAAAAAAACTGCAACTTCCAAATGAAAACGCGACAACTCCTGAAATACACACACACACACACACACAAATCTCTCCGTGCATAACTGTGTGCCCCAGTAAGCAATTGAGAAAGATATATGACTGTATTCTTTTCTGCTCGAGCATCATAAACTCAAGCGCATATATATTGTTAGCAGCAGCATAGCACTAATCAGTTTGCACACTATTTGAATAAGCGCATTCATATAACACTTATTGCAACAGCGCACAAAAGAAGTCAAAAAAAAAAAATACCAACGCCAACGCTAACAACGATGGAAACCACTGCGTTTACTTTTGCATAGAATTATTGTAATAAAAAAAGGACCAACTATGCAAAAACTACATTTGAATATCAATATTTTTTTGCCATACACTTCGTATTTGGCAGTAGTTGGTGGTTGGCGGTTTTCAAACTACATCGCAAAATTACTTGGCCACTCTTTTTGCAATACTTTTTTTGTGTTCGTTCTTCTTTTATGTGCTCTCATAATAATTTATCCATCGGATTTGCGGTCTGTGAAATTAAAGTTAAAAATGCATTTTTTTTCAATCTACACAGACACGTAGTCGGGCATGTTTTGCTGATGCATTTATTTTTTTTTATGTTATGAACAATATTTTCATTGAATATAAAGGCTTTCTAAATGAATTCTGGCCCGGTTTCGATGGGAAGCACATCTTTTTTCATACTCGTGTCATTTACACGTTTGTAGCCAGCAGAGATGATTTACTAACTAATGACAAAGATAAATTTTTCACAACATTCAAATATCCAGGCAGATTTTTAATCATTTTGACGATTCAGTATATTTTGTTGAGCTAGCATTCGTTTTTTAGCCAAATTTCGTTTTTGAAGATTGCACGTCAGGCGAATGGTGGCAAAATAAATGATTTCGACGACACTCAAAAGAGAAATACCCATGAATAAGCTTAGGATACCGCCAACTGTGCCCATAAAATCCATCGTACCATACAATTCCGACCGAAGCGATGCAAAATACTGTTGATCCTTGAATAAAACCGTAATTTTTATGATTCTAAATCCAGTCGGCACAAAATTTTTGAGTGGTTTCAATTCAATTCTCGACATCGATATCTCCGCATCGTACGTGATTGACTGACAGTCTGGCAAACATTTAGTTGTTAAGTTTGCATTGTGAAGTGAGTTTTCTACGACTTCGACACATTTGTACTCTGTATAATAGCTGCAGACTTTGGTGCTGTTTAGACGAGGCATCCAGAAGAGAACACAACCACAAATTTTGTTTGTTTGCAATGCCAATGTATCGACAAAGCAGTTACGCTGCGTGTATCGCTTGAAAAAGACTAGATTGTGTTCATTTTCGGCGATGCATTTCCGCTGCTCTTGGCTGTAGTTTTTAATTAAACTCGGTGATGTCATCATTAAATTGGCCTTCACCGAGATGCGAACATCGCTGTCATAAGCCGCGTGATAGAAATTTTTCTTTAATCGAGGCACTTCTTCTGCAGAATGAATCCAGATTTTAAAACCTTCCAGCATATCACTACATAAATAGTCGTGCTCAGTTATTGGCACAAACATTCTTAAGCCCAAACCTTAAATCAAAAAATCCAAAAATCTAGCACACACACACATCAAAATTTAGCAAATATTAAACAACGTTAATCCAAACCTTTTCCTGCATTCCGCATTTTATAAGGATATGACAAGTTCCGAAGCTCTTGTGTTCCATTTATACTAAAATCTTTCAAATGCCAGTAAGATACTTGGAAACCGTTCACTTTCGGAAAATCATCGGCCAATAAATCGACGTTGTAAATTTCGTCCGTACTCATTTGATTGAATGTATAGCAAAGTCCGGCATCGGTTAAAATTTTATGGAATAATAATGTGCAATTAAACTCCTGTTCAGCGGATAAAGTACAGTGATGCTTATCCTGGAATAAATTAGGTGCGAGCTCTTCCAAATATGGCTCAATATTTCGATCAATCGTATAATTTTTGTATTTGATGTATTCGCCTAAAAAGTACGGTGGATAATGGCAAATATTTGCCAGCGAATGAACTCTTTGAATGGTTTCAGCGTCCAAGTCGAGGTTGGTGAAATTTTCTTGTGACAATTGGTTACGAATCCGCGAGTAATTTAGAACAGATGAATTGACCATTAAATCGTTACAAATGGTAACTGTAGGAAACGGTATATCAGAGACTGGAGTTGCTTCGTCGTTGAAAGAAATTATCACTGGACTCAGTTTCCACTTCCACCAAGCTTGGAATATAAATCCAGCACACAAAAACACCGACACCGAAACGGTCACAATCCACCTTTGTAATATAGAAAAACAAGAAGAAATATTTCATGACCATTATTTGGTTGATTTTTGCCAAAATTATATTTTATCACCAAATCCTTTCCGACCAATGTCGCCTCTTTTCACCCAAGTAACGAACTCCATGAACTGTACTTGTTTCGCTATACTCAGAAAACACCTTCCAAACTGCATGGATTGGCCGACCATAGCGGCTCTGTCGTCTGATTTTAACAACCCGTCGTGCAACATTGCCAAAGGAATGCCTATCCGCTTTTCTTGAATCATTCATTTTGAAGTCTTGAAAAAAAAAAATAACTTAGTTGATTTAATTCGATTTATGAACGACAAACTATAATAAATTAACCAGAGAGAACCTGCCGACAACTCCTACTTATGACACGAACAGAAACAGAATGAGGCTACCCATCTTTTGGTAGAGACAATTTATTGCAATTGTAAAATGACGCCCTAAAATGATATCATTTGGCAAACATGAAAAAAAAAAACAACATTGATGAATACTAGTTCGAACTAATATGCTCTTCAGTTAATCATGTACGTTAAGCTAATTATTAATTTCACGGGTGCAGTTTTATCATTCAAGCTAATTAATTGCGGCGTTTAATTGGAATTAAATTACTTATTGATGATACGCCATTGTAGCATATTTTTCTATTTGAAAATTCTCATGATAGCGGTAGAAAAATTGAACAAACACGTGTGTTTTCAGTGTTACCAATGGTGATATATATAATTATGTACGTATATATGTATATTGTAGCAATAACGCATAGTTGAACGTTTTCTATATTATGAATTCCTTTATTTAAAACCATATGTAATGTTCGTGTTTACATTTTACAACAAGGATTATTCTAATGTTCGATGCATCTTTTTTTTCGATTTTATAAATATATTCCAAATTCCTATGAATGAAAATATTTCAAATACACAAATATACGGTTATAGGACCACAAATATCAAACACATTTGTCTTAAAACCAATAAAACTGCATGCATTAAATTGCAAATGGAATAATAAATTATTCCGTTACGCCTCTTCCAATTCCTGTTGCGCTGGTACAATCGATTTGTTTCGCACATTTCGTTTGTATAGATTGCAAGCGAGACGAAATGTGGCAAAATAAATGATTTCGATGATGCTCAAAATGGAGATGCCCATAAATAAATTCAATATACCACCGCAGGCCGCTGTGAAATCGATCAAATCCATTTTCCCGTACAATTCCGATCGACTCGCAGCATAGTATTGTTGATCTTTGAACAGTATTACAACTTTGATACGTTTGAATCCTTCGGGCTCAAGTGGATTTGATGCTCGTTTCGATGTCGATATATCCGCCTCATAGGTTATCGAATTGCATGACGGTAAACATTTATTCGTCAAATCGGTATTATGAATAGAATTTTCAACGTGCCGGACACAATTGAATTCATGCGAAAAAGTGCACATTTTCGATGCATTAAATCGTGGCATCCAATACAATACACAGCCACAAATTCGGTATGATTCATTGGCTAGTGTTTCCAAATGGCAGTTTCTTTGCGTGTATGTTTTAAAAAATAGCAGATTTTGCTCATTTTCTGCAATGCATTTTCGTTGTTCCAAATTATGATTTTCAATCAATGTTTTCGCTGTTATCATCATATTCGGTCGTACGGTGATTGAAACGCTATGGTCATATGGAATGTGATAAAAGAATTTATTCAATCGAGGCACTTCAAACGCTGAATGTATCTGTAGTTTCAATCCTTCGAGCATGCCATCGCACATTGGATCAAAATGATTTTCCATTTCGGGCATCCACATATTTAGCTCTAAGCCAGTTCCAGCATTTCGAATTCGATATGGATACTGCAAATTGCGTAGCTCTTTCGTTCCATTTGTATTAAAATCAATCAAGTCCCAATATGACACATTGAAAATATCAACTTTCGGAAAGTCGTCCGCTAATACGTCCGTATTATAAACGCCATCCGAACTCAAGTGATTGAATGTATAGCATAGACCGGAATCTGTTAGTAATTGATTGAATAGTAAATCACATTTAAATTCGCTATGGCCCGCTAAAAAACAACTATCATTTTTATGAAACAGACGCGCTTCGAGCTGCTGCAAAGAGAGTTGAATATTTCGGTTAACTTCATAGCCCTTGTATCGGATATATTCGCCTAAATACAAGGGCGGCGCACAGAAATGCGCCAACGAATGCACTCTCTGGATAGTCTCAGCGTCCAAATCGACGTGTGCAAATTCTCTATTCGACAATTGTTCACGAATGCTGGAATAATTTAAAGCAGATGTGTTGACCATAAAATCGTTGCAAATGGTAATGGAAGGAAATGGAATATCTCCGATTAGAGTCGCTTCGTCTGCGAAAGTAATGATCAGCGGCGAAATGGTCCACTTCCGAAAGCAACCAAACAAAAATCCAGCACACATTATAATCGAAGTTGAAACAGATATTATCCACCAGATCCTCTCTGTCCAGTGTCTTCGTTTATCGCACAGATAACGAACTCCGTGAACTGTACTTGTTTTACTGTATTCCGAGAATACGTGTTCCACCACACGAATTGGACTTCTATCACCCATGTTTTTAATTTTCCAATTGAATATTCTATCTACTTGTTCAGACGACACACCTGCTTGTGACGCGTACGGAAGACGAATGACAGGATGGATATGTTGCATGCGTTTTTATGGGAAAAGGCGCAAATGAACTGAATGCATAAATCAAAAGTTTACGCCCTTAAGTGTTATCAATTGCTGAACAAACAGTAAATCAGTCAATTATTCAGAAATGTCCTTCATTCAACTGTGTAAACGGAACACACAATTATATATCCCTGGATGATTTTCCCAACCTTCGAGCTTATTATTTTCATTCTTACAATCTTTGGAGAGTATTAAATTGCACGCTCTTATCGACTTGTCGACATTGTGACGAGAATCATACTATACACAGAGAATTAAGAAACCCTCGCATATTTAAAAAATTGTTCTGGTCTTTTCAACGATTGATCATCGAATGTTTTTCTTTTTCGCGAGAATCACGATCATCAAAAGTAAAACCTTTTTATCTCATATTATTGTAAATGCGTTTTATCTGAATTCCGATGATTTTTTTTTGCAATTGTCAGCAAAATAAAGACGGAAATAAGTTTTTATGAGCTAGCCCATCCTTTGGATCCTCATGATGATATCACAATTGCGACTTAGATATTTATTTTCTCGCTTTTAGCAAATTTATCAGCTTGGTTTATTAGAATTTGTGTGAAAAGAAGATAACGAAGCTTATTGGTTTGTTGTCGGGTTTGGAGTATTCCCCGATTCCCATGTCAATATAATCCGAGTGAAAGTAGTAGAGCGGGAGCAAAAAAAAAAAACACGACAAACAATAACAAATTTAGCCAACATATTACATCTATGTGTGGATGTTCTCAGCCCAGCGATTTCAAAAGTCATAAAAACTCGCACATCCAGTTATTTATATTTTTCCACTCATTCTCCACCCTCAGAACGTGCACGAGTAAAAGCGAGAGAACGCACACATCTACAGTTTCAGCAAAGTGACAAAAAGAAGAGCGAAAACAAGTCACAATGAAAATAAATTGCAAAAAAGAAAAGAGCACAAGGAATGCGTTTCAAACTTTGTGTGTGTGTATGGTTTTTTCTCGCTTGTGAACGCATTTTATGTGATTCCCTTGGATTGACACTATTCTTTCTGTGGAATACCATGTACACTGGTGTATTCATCACTGTACGCAACTTGTATGGCAAACTTAAATGGGATTTTCCCTCTATTTTTACAATTGCATGGTCTCGTTTGTTGAATATATGAACTCAATTTGACATATTACTATATAGTGTGAAATTGTTTTCCTTCCATTGAGTCGTTCGTAATGTACATATAATATAGTGATTTCTTCCAAGTGATTTAATGTATGTACTCCTGTTCATAGGTCGAGTGATGCTTAAAAAAAATTGTGTCCATTTCAATTTTTAACGCTATTCTATCGTTAAACCAAATGGCTCAGACAGATCACGACATTTTCAAACTAAAGATACACATGTTCAGCCACAATCCCGTATCGAATTTCTCATTTTCCTTAATTTTATTTTTGCCACGATTGGCTAAAACGTCGCATGGCAAATGTAAATTTGGTGGATTCAAATTCCATTGGAATTGTCAGTATTTTAAAGTTGATTCAAATACGGCATGTTTGACTTGAGTTCTTGTTTGGTTGTC